GCGCAAGCAAGTTGACTCCAAACACTCCCCCAAATGAAAGTGCCTTTCATTTCCCTACTTGTGCCCTATCGTACCTCGGAAGCTTACTGCCTCCTTCGCGATCTCACGCGGTCACCACTTGCAGCACCTACATAGCCTCCTGGCCTGAACTTCTTCGGTTCTGTCAAGAGCGGCACAGCTCTCCGACAGGTGAACACACTTCCCCGAGCATGTAAAGTAGGCGGTGTCTCCGGCACGCCCACGTGGCAAACCTTCACCGCTTCCGCAGACAGGACATAGGTTTCTGACAATCGGGGCACTAGCAAATTGCATAGGTCTCGAAGTGAGGGTACTATGAACACAATCTCCATTCTTCGTAAGGTAAACCACAGTACCCTGCTCTTGGGGGGGACAGCTCATTATTACATCTTTCTTAAGGCCATAGGGACGCTTCATCCTATCTACAACCCCAAGCTCACTACTGCCCTTCGTCGTGGATCTCTGAGACACAGGTCGCTCATGAGATCCTGTCGCCCTACCTGCTCCAAAAAATCTCGGAGAACTTTCAGTCCTAGTGGAACTCCCCGGGGCTTCAGTTCCTACATCCGGGCCTAAACCCTTAAGGGGAATTGCTGGGGCCTCTGACTCGACTGGTGACAGTCGCTTCTCAACGCTTGGGCAAGGACCTAAACCACTACGAGGGACTACTGGGGTCGCTGGCTTGACACTCGGCAATCGCTTCTCGACACCTGGGCAAGGGCCTAAACCGCTACTAGGGACTACTGGGGTTTCTGGCCTGACAGACTGCACTCGCTCGTCAACACCTGGGCAAGGGCCTAAACCACTACTAGGGACTACTGGGCGTTCTGGCTGAGCATCTGGAAGTTTCGCTTGCACAGTGACATTCACAACTGGGGAGAACTGCAATGGGTCTCTCCCCCGCCTCCTTAGCCCAGTCACATCATTGAAACGGGGCGTGCAGGCCTGATCCCTACCCTCGGGTTCCAGACTACGCAGAATTTCAACCCTAAACCATCCCCATCGCACACAGGCACAAGCTCCCAGGGCACCGAGCGAACTAAAGCACACAGCCATCAAGATTACACAAACCCAAAATTCCCATGTGCCATCTGATTCCTCGATATCAACCCTATGACCCTCTACTGACCGAGTCGAGGCCAGCAAACCAATCGCAATCAACCCGCTACCACTTCCCCGTGACCTTGACGAACCTCCGCTATCCCCGCTGGGGCCTCTGGGCATACCTGAATCCGTAGTCCACTCTCCTATGGAAGACTCCTCGGCCTCATCTTCAGCTTCAACTACATCATCAACATACACTGCCAGTCGCCCTAATGGTGGAGGATGAAGCAACTCAGGAGGCATCGGAACTGTTGGGGCCCTCGCTCCAAGCAACGCTTCCTGTAGATTGACAAAAGGCCTAGGACCAGTAGGACCCCCCTCATAGGCTTGGGAAGTATCTCCAATATCAGGTGTTGCAGGAACTCGGACTTCTGGAGACCCTGTCCTATCTACTGGACCCGGCAAATCCCACAGCCCTGAACCATTATCCTCAGGAAAGAACGCCCTATCACTCTCTTCAGCGGCTTCACACAAGTCCTCATAGGTCTCTGCGTATCTGCGCAGCAGGGCCTCCTCGGCTCGTGGGGACAATTCCCAATCTAAACCTTCCGACTGGGCCTGGTTCGCACTTACGTGCTCCCCCGTCTCTAAGCCGGTCTCGATCTCAGCCTCAGCGGTTTGCACTTCCCGATGACAGTGTACTCGCTCGGGTGGAGGGGTTCTCGGACCTCTGGAAACTGGCTGTCTCCTGAAGCACCAATTCACGATGGCTCCCAGCTTACACGCACACAGCCACCCACATCCAACCCCAAACCCAATCACAAAACTGTGCCACATCAGTTGCATCTCGTCCACACTGATGCTCAACCTTAGGGGATTTGCATTAGCTCCCGACATCTGAATAATGAGCAGCAGGGCCAACAAAGCCTTCGCCGCACTAGGTTGGCCGCTTGCCAGAGACGCTACTTGGGGTCTAGGGGGTGCCTCAGACTTATCGAGGTGGGGTGCCCATAAATTGCAAACCCGAATCAAGTCTTCTAGCCTAGCAGGTCCTACCGGTTTGGTCCCAATATCCGCTGGCATGAAAACTCCTTCCAAGTGCGACAACTGCCAAAGCCCTTCTTCGATATCTTGTCTGATCACTGCCCCCCGGAGCCTTAAATGCCTCGTGCGCCACGAGCCTGCTTCCAACACACATAGCTGAACCGCAGCAGAGTTATCGCAATACAGCCTGCAGTCAACCTTAGGCGCTGGGAGATCCAGTAGCGCGGCAATCGTCGGTCTCATTGCCTTTCCCAATAGATGGCCCTCTGCTAACGAGTACAGTTCACTCTCCGCCGTATGAGAAGCGATGAGCGTCTGTCGACTTGAGGACCAAGCTATCAGTGCCCCTGCCCAGAACAGCTGAATACTGCCAAAGCTCCTGCTCTGTTCATCCGCACAGAACGATGCATCTGTAAACACATCGACGCTAGCTTCAACCTCTTGATACTTCAGTTGATTCCATTTCCCGCACCGACCGCCAGCTGGTCCGTAGTGCAGACCCATCCTCGGAGCGTAACGCAAGTAGCGAATCAAGTGCTCTGCCCGGGCCAAAGACTCTGCCGGATGTGATGCTATCTTCTGTCCCGCCATGCTGACACCAAAGGCCAAATCTGGTCTAGTACGGTTGGACACCCAGAGTAGCTGTCCGACCAAAGTCTGAGCTCGCTTCGTGACTTTGTGTTTTTCATCTCCGTCATCTAGCTCGCTGACCTCATACGTCTTTGAAGCTGGAGTGGTCTCTTCCCCCTGGATATCATCCCGGTACTGATCCAGTAGATCCATCACATAACTAGTCTGATGCAGGAGGTACCCTGACCCCGTCTTCTCCACTTGAAACCCGCTGAACTTCACTGTGTCTCCGGGACTGGACAGGTATTCCGGAGTTGATAGCTGCCACGCTGACTGTAATGACTCAAGAACTGCTTCCAACAGCTTCGGTGGCCCTGTTGTCAGGATGTCATCCACATAGAGTCCCAACAGACCCAACATCCCGTTGGGTATCCCCTCCTCCGGTACAGCATGAGGCGCCTCTGCATCCCACTCCAACTTCCACATGTTGGCATCTTCCATCATGGGAACACAGCGAACTACACCACCCTGAAAGGGGATCTTCAAGTCACGCAGCACCTTATTTCTATGAGTCACCCAGCATTTTGGAGACACCGCCAGGCCATACATAGCCTTCTGCACCAACCAGTAGCGTTCAGAACACACTCCTGATGCCCGTAAGATATGGGGGACCTTTACCACGATTACCCTAGGCTTACCACCGCTATGCCCGGCAATGACAGGAGCCTGGAGGAAGGCGGCCTTAACATCGGCAGTGGCAACGTTCCAATCTTGTCTCATGGCCGCTTTCCGGACTAGCATCCGGATCCCTTCTCCCCCTATCCCTGAAGCAAACAGCTCTGACTTCGGGTGACTCTCACCACTCTGGTGATTACCGCAACAGACGATCCGCGCGCGACGCCTCCCCGTCGACTTGTGCACATACACTCCCTTACCAGGGATGAGCTCCAATGCAATGGAAGTGTCGTTCAGAAGCTCGGAAAACTCTTGGTCTGTAAGCGGTTTCACCGTCCCTGAGTCCTTAGTCAGGTTATCGTACTCCTCCTTCAAAGGACCACACCATTTAGGCATTTCCCTACGCACTTGCTCCTGTGAGATGATCTTGGACTGAAGAGGTGCCACATCCTCCGGGTCTGACGGTTCAGCACCATTGCCAGAGCACATCTCCTGCCCAGGCTGGTCCTGAGAAAGCGGGTTCTCCTCAACCTCGAACGCTCGTAAGGATGGGTGGGGCTCTGATCCTTGACTTGCATCCTCCAACCGCTGTAACGCCCTCAACTCATAACCCTGCATAGCTCTCAGCTCGCGTTCCAAGTGTTGAACCTCTATAAGCCATTCGGACTCTATTCCCCGTAACCAGCAGTCCCCATCCCCACCTAAGGCCTCCAACATTTTGCATCGAGCCTGATGATTGGCAGCTAGGTCAAAGGCACATGTCTCTAACGATCCTTTCATTGGCCACGCCACACGCTCTAAGAGGCATTTCGCATTCTGGGCACCCTGGAACACAGGACAGATGTGCATTTCACGTGACACCGTGGGGACTTCATATGGAAGAGGCTCTTTGTCACTCTCATCCTCAAACACATCTCCCGGCACGAACTTACACACCTCAGCAGCTAACCGGGGAATTTCAATCCTCAGGCATGCATACATGACAGCTCGCGGGCACTTTCCCGGAAATTCCTCACAGACTGTGACTTTGCTGGCACCTCCGCTAACAACCTCAATTCCCTTATCCCATTCATCAACCAAATCGTCACACCTCAATCGCGGAACCCGGTCGGATCGATCGCCCTCATCAGTCCCATTATCCTTACACTGAACCCCAGGGTTTCCAACACAGCGTTCTCTCTGATTCTCTGCCTTGAGGCTGCAGAGTCTGAACCTAGCTGCATACCGTGCACCCCAGGTGCTCACCGGGGCAGGCGACAACGCAGTCCTCGGGTCCCTTCTTGCAGTGTGCCCAGGAACTTGGCCACCATCACTTTCTACACCCCGTCCCCTAGAGACACTGCGACCCCTAAGCGAACCAACCTCATCAAGACCTACACTATACCCTACTTCACCAAATCCAGATGCTGATGCTTCCCAGCTTCTCTCCCGTGGTTTCTGAGGACTGCCTGCTCTGTCTAACACACGCAAGGGAGTCCTGCTACCGCTCAAGTCCCCTGCGCACCGCGAGTTCTGCATCATTGGCATCTGCTCCCCTTCATGGCCCAACTCGAGCACACTATCCTCCCCCACCGCTTCCGGTTGCACGGGCAGAGACTGTGTTGACGACATTGACTGTAGGGACGGTTGCAATGGATCCCCCCCCCCATCGCTGGCCTGAGATGGAACCTGAAGCTTGAACACAGATCTGCCTGTCCATGCATGCGGTGCTGCGCGACCGCGTCCCTCTCGCCACCTGTGGAAGGTCCTAACAGCTGGTTGGCCAGGGAATTCCTGAATGCACATACGCAGGTCACCAATTTCATCTCTAGGGAAGGGAAGTTGATCCCGCTCCAGAGGCACAAACATCTGACGCCGGGGCAGCGGATGATAACGCACAAGGGTGTTAGACGATGGTCTGAAACCCCAATACTCAGCCTTAGTGCCCGGAATGTATGTAAACCCCGCTTCCCAAAGTACCTTTTTGTCAACCCCGTCCAACTTATGCAGACTTCTTGCTGTATACCCGAACAACAGTAGCTGTGGTCCATCAGAGGGCACGGACTCATGCCAAACATGAGGATGAAACGTCAGCGGCTCATGCGATTTGTACTGAAACACCTTGCCTTGCAGTACCGTACCATTGGCCAGCTGGCGCGTTCCATCCACGCCTTCACTGCTCGACTGTGGGTCAGCCCCCTGTTTGTCCTGGATCCAGATTCCTCCGCCTTGTGCCACGATTGGCAACACAACGTTTGGGACACCTCTTTGATTATGGACATCACGATGCATCACATGGTCTGAGTTTAGTGACAAGCCTATGCCCGCAAACGGCTCATCTGTATGCCTTGCCATGTACCTCGTCAAGTACTGGGTAACACACCAATGATGCTTCGTATCACTGCGTAAGCCTGTCATCCCTCCAAACGTAAAACCTCCACTAAGAAATGTGACCTTCGGACGATTCTTCTGAGTCTCGTGGGTCCCAGCTTGGCACTTAACCATTCGTTCATTTGACGCCACAGTTTTTGACAAACACAATGCCAACTCTGCCAAGTCCTTAGGCTCCCATCGGTCATCATCCATCAAAGTCTTTGCCAGTTGATCTGCAGGATGGTTAGGGGGAAGGACATTACACTGAGTCACAATTTTTCTAACTTTGGTTTTCTCCTTCAACCTGTTGGACGGAGCATCAAGGTCGACTGGTTGTCCCGCCACCTCAAATTTAACTTCCGTATCAATCGCAGGAAAAACCTTGCTAGTAGTGAACATCAGCCCATCTTCAGTCTTCACAACCCAACCCCTAGCACTACTCGCTGAAGGACACTTCGTGTAAGCTGACGCCGTACGCGACTCCCAGACCCCCCTGCGCCATGATCGCTGTAGCACTTGGACCTTGGTGTTGAAGGGCAGCGTCGGTTCTGCCGGCAGCTTCAATCGAGCTCTGGCAACCCCCCGCAACTGATGAGCAGCCAACTTCGCAGCCAACGGCCATTCCTTGAGGTCGCCTCCGCCTGCCGCCTGAAGAATTGCACGTGTCTTACTCTTAATGCGCAATATGGCACCCTCTGCCCTACCGTTCGTCTGATGCTCCTCTGCCAGGGCAAAGGTCTGATGCAGTGCAAACTTGCTGCAGAATGCTTTCAGAGCTGCATTATTGAACTCGCGCCCGCGATCCGTGTGTACACGCCTTACATCGTATCCATCACTTATGGCCTTTGCATACATCCTGCTTACTGCTGCCGTAACTTCTTGTTGCTTCTTAGTCTCAACCGCCTCCGTAAACAGCATGTCTACCATTTCCACCCTTGGGAGATACTCCGCCTTGGCCTCGCGCAACCAATCTTCTCGACTGGCCTTCACAACCTTTTCCCAGCCACTCCAAGCATCCCTGGCTTCCTTAAGCTCTCGCTGCGATGGCTCCGGCATTGGCTCCTCCAACTCCATCCCCTGATTTATGAACCACTCGCGGTCCTCCAATCCTTTGGCAAAGCTCTCCACTGTGATCGTGGGATCCCGATCTCCTGGTTCGTCAACCGGGCTCCCTTCCGCAGACAAGATCGGCACAGATAGAACCCCTACTACCAGATACTTTGCCTTAGTGGTACCCTCATCAAGCCCTGGCGGGAAAGGTCCTGTAGTATCTATGCTTAAGGTCCACCCTTGGGGCGCTAGAACCTTCCTGTGCTGTTTTTGGCGTGCCCCGCCCTGGACGCAATACTTGCAGTCACGCCGGTATGGCGTGTGATTATTCTTCAGATGCTCCAAGAACCCCGCATCGACGGATCTCACCTTGAACACATTACCCGCTGCATGCTCTTGGAACGCCCTCCACAACATATTGCCAATGGCACCCTGCAGACCTGGGGACCATCCAGCCCATGTTTTCTGGCCAGTCAGATTCGTACTTGAGTTCTCAGTCAGGCACGTCTCCTCAGACCAACAATCCAGCAGCACGGGGTCGGGGGTTATGTTACTACTGATAGTGGTTGGCCGTTTCTTGCAGTGGCCTAGAACCCCTTGATGGAAAGAAACCCTTTGCATTTCGATGAATTGTTCAAGTGCTCTCCACTCTGGGACTACCCAGATTGATGCAAACCCAGACTCCGGACAACTCAAGCTCTGCAAAGGGTACCCCCCTCGAACCTCCTCATGTATATCCCCCGGGTTCTCAAAGACCAAAGAAGGGTCATCCTGGTGGAGGGCTCGGCATGAAGCTGTTGCTACAGTAGCAAGAATCATAATCCGGAGGATGAGCAAATCATCCATTCGACGCTGTGCTAGTTCTCGGCAGTTCAAGTCTTGGACCCCATAGTCTCCCAGACTCTCTCCCCGAACCCTAAGAGGTCTATGGAACTGTTCTTCCCCTTCCTTAAGGTATCTACTCCATGCAAAGGTCCGATACGGGATCGCCCCGACAATGCCCCTTATTTTTCCTTGAGATGCCTGTTGAAGCAAGTATCTGAAAGTGCTGTCAGAAAGCAAGTTCTCTGGACGTTCAACTCCTAGCAGCGCAACCTTGCTCCTATCCGCTAAGCCTTCATATGTCCGTTTGCACCCAGCATTGAACAGATGCACCAACACACCGCTCGCCTGGTCACACCTACGCCTCATCCTCCTGTTCCAAGCAAAGTTCTCTCCGTCCTGATCTTGCAACGACACTGTCGCCTGAGACAACAGCTCACGGTCTATGCCAGGAAAGATTCTTGTCAGGAGCGTCTGCATCGCCGCATCTGCATGAGCATCGCGCTGCACTATGATGCAAGCCAGGTCATCCAAACCCAACGCTTCCAGATCTTTCATGATGCAGTGTAGCCTTGCACTCCGATGCTCGTTACGCTCCATAAGAGACTCATACTCCTTGATAAGCACCAACGCCTCCTGTTCGGAAATCTCAGGACAACCGGAGCTCGAATCAAGATCCAACTCCCCGCGACATGGATGCCAGATGCGACACTTCGAAGAATCCCACTCGATCTTGAAACCAAGAGATAACAAGGCTCGCACCGACAAGATTGGCGACACATGTGTTCTGCTCAACAACGTGCCTTGGGGATTTACCAACAGCTGGCACTCTCCGAACGCTAGCTTCACGCCGACCACTGGCATATCCTGCTCGTGAGCTTCCGCTGTCCTGAGGCACGACGTGGCCCCCCCGTCTATGAGCCCTCTGGGCTCACCTCGGTGGGCCCTGCACAGGAGTTCCGTGGCCGTTCTGACGTACGGCTTCAATGCTGCCAATCGCATGCTCTGAAGGAGTTGTGCTGCTTCTTTGATGGCATCTGGGCTAAGTCCTGTCGGCTGCGGTGCTGATGCCTTCGAGGCAGCCCCATTCTTTCCTTTTCCTCCCGAGCCTCCATCCGCACTACCAGATTTCCCTTTTCCCTTGTTCCCAGGCTCCGTCCCCTGGGGCTTTTGGTACTTACCGCCACCCGGTGCAACGCAATCCGCCTTTTGGTGTGCACCCCCACACGACCAACATTTGCCTGGCCTTTCTACTGTATGGGCAAACGTACATGTTTTACCATACTTACATCCCTGGTCAGTTATCCAACCCACACATGGCTTCTTGGGTCCCGTGGCTGGCTTCCCTTCTGCAGCGGGCGCTGCTGGGAGGTCTCCTTTCCCTCCTCCCTTTTTCCCTCCAGTTTTGCCCTTGGTAGAACCATCAACCCCAACTGAAGCGACCCGCTGTCTCTTAGGAGCGTTATCCGGCATTGCCACCGACAACAACTCTAACTCTGACAGCACCGTCCTGGCAAACTCTTCCACTGTTTCCAGCTGGGGCCTTGTGTCCAACTGGAGCTGCATGCGGACCGAATGCATCCGAAAATTCATAGAAGGGTTCCCTTGAAGTAGTCCCGTCAAGGCCTTATCCAAGCTGTCCAACAGAAGTGAAGAATCCGGAACAGAGATTCCCATCGACTTAGCCCGCTCAAGATGTCGGAACCACTTTTGCAATCCACTTACACCTATCATGGCCGAGTCAAAGGGTGCCAGGTTGGTCAAACCACGAAGCAGTTCAGCACGCTCATTTAATCCACCAGGTTGATACGTTCTCAATGTAAGGAATATGAGGCCAACACACGTCACGTTTCGGTTTGCAAGTGCCTGCTCATAAACCACACTCGGTAACGCCTTTGACAACATAGCCACCCCCCGAGACTCAATCCGAACAAACGGTTCCTGAAGCAGGCTGCCCTTCGGCTTACCAAGAATCTTCGCTCTGTCTAAAGGCTTTGCCTTGCTCCACTTATCGTACTCCAAGCGGGCCTGGTTCAGGATCTCCTGCCACCAGACGTGTGCGCGAGGAGCTAAGTCGGACATAAGGGGTGTAACCTTGTAAACCCAATCGTTACAACGCATAGCCGGGTTAGGTTCGGCATTAGGCGATGCTAGAACCGGCAAGTCCCAATATGTGCGTTTCCCGGGTATGAAGTCTTTAGCCCCTAAGTCCCCTTTTGCTACTCCCTCAGGCTTGCCGCTATCGTCTTGAAAGCCCTCTGAAGCTTGGTTAATCTGCACTAACGGTGATGCGGGTGGTGGACCTGCAGGAAGGCGCGTTCCACCTGGCGTCGCTGGGGAAGCATTGACCTGATGCCCGCTTGCCCCCCGTTGCCTCGGAGGATGGGGCGCTGGTGACCTAGATTGCCTCCTATAGTATCCACCCCTAGACCCACTAGGAGACCTACTAGTAACTCGGATACCTGCCGGCACAGGCGGTGGGGGCGGAGGAGCTGCGTCCTCGGTTCGCTGGGGGTACTCAGGGACTCTGAATGGCGAGGCTGCCTTGGCACTAAACGGGTTATAGTAACCTTGACTCGTCCAGTCATTACCTATTTCCCTCTCCTTAACTCCCATAACAGGCATAGAGTTACAACCCTGAGTGTCTTGCACGTCACCGTCTTGCAGAGCAAAGTACTTGGGAGACTCCGAGTTAATAATCACATCTCCATTGGTCGCTACCGTACCTGTGCGAGGAACCCCGTTAATCATCACCGTAACCTTATCACCCGCTCTATTACCCAATACAGTCACTGTGGCCTCAGGAACACATGCAGCAGGGAGGGTCCTATCATCGGGAACATACGGGGCTGCAGGAGGTTTGACTGGAAGGCTTCCTTGCTCTGACACCTGAACATGCCTAGTCTCAGACAGCCCTACAGTTCGAACACCCGCATCCAAACTAGTTACGCTGGAAAACGCTTCAGGCTCATGCAACGGTTGTCCAAGAACTTGCACATCGGGAGTGCTTTGCAACGTCAGACTCTGAAGAGCCCTTGTGGTGGCCAACAGTTGGTCTCCTGGGCCGCTCGCCGGCAACCCTGGTGCGTTGCTACCTGCTCCACCTGTAAAGCTAGTCCATGGAGGCTGGAACGTCCTACCCATAGGTAACCACTCTTCTACCTTAGGACCTCCTACACCCTTACCATTCTTCGGCCTTTGATTCCCAGACCTTCGATGGCCCCTACCTTCTTCCACTACAGAGCGCTCCCCCTGTACAGATTCAAACCTATCTCTACCAGACTCACCAGACGTTCTGGAGCGGCTTTCAGCCACTTCATTTCTCAAGTGTTCATTCTGCTCCATCAGCTGGTGGACCAAAGCCTCCAGGACCTCGGTCCGCGTCGACTCAGATGCAGCTGGTCGGGCGCTCCTGCCATGATAGACGGCTTCACCAGTCTCCCACCAGTTCATTGTTGCATCGCCTCCCCCAGATCTAGTGTGACCCCCCACACCATTGATGTGTCCCGGGCTCGCCTGCATCTGCTGGCCCTCTCCCGAATGCGGGCCTCGAAGAAGCGCTGCCCCACCAGTGGCAGTAATCCGGAAAAAACCAGCGTCCCTATGAGCTGAGGTGCCTTCACTCGCTGGAACAACGCCCTCACTTCTCCTGGGTACAGCCCCATCCAGCGTGGCAACTCGGCTTCGGTCCGCGGAGACTGTAACCTCGCCCTGATCTGGAGAACCATTGCCCCCTTCCACAGATGCAAAATCATAGTCAGGCTCTGCCCCTTCTGCTGCCTCTGCACTTTCCAGCAGGTCGGCTGCTTGTTGTTCGGGAGTCCTATCTCCCTCTCTCCGATTTCTTCCCGGCCTCAACTCTTCCTCGTCGGACCAGCGTTCTCCAGAAAACGGATTGTCCCGCCCAGCCAGTCCCAAGGTAACTCCACCATAGGACTCGTTCTGAACCTCATTTGCCTGCTCGTAGCCCGGTTCGTCTCCGGAGCCCGCTGCAGACGCCATTGCGAAGCGCAACAGGGAGCCGGCTTGGGCTCATAACCTGCCGAAGCAAGTATGAGCTTCCCGT